ATCGGCGCCACTACAGAAGCATCGATCATGGACCCGCGATGGCACTGCGTGCGCCGCCGCATTTCACACCGCGCGCTGGACGACCAGCGGAAAAAAAACGAGAGAATCTCACGAGCCCGTGCGGAATGACAAATTTACCGCGACGGGCGGACATCACATTTCCCCAACTGCGGCCCGAAATGCTGACGAACTTGCGCACATGGACAAAAACGATGTCCTTGAACAAACAAATGTATGTTTCCGCGCCGCGCATGGCGCCGCGCAGTCGAATGCGCCTCCGTTGTTATGCAGGCGCACGCGTGCGACAACGACTGTGTGAAAATACAACAGATCTTTTGGATGTTGTAAATAATGGTGAGCGTTGTGCACTGACACGGATGTGTTTTTATCAGTGCATTGCAACTTGGCAAAAATGCGCATGCATTTTCATCTTAAATTTTATCAACATCTTAAATTATGGAAAACATGTTAAATTTTAAGTTTCATCTTAAAATTTAAGCGTCATCGTAAATTTTAAGTTGCACCGTAAATTTTAAGCTTAACGCACCTCTGGGGTGGCTCTTGCTGAACCTGGGAGCTGTGACGCGCCCACTGTCCATGCAGGAGCTGGGGCACGTCGGCGAATGCACGCCGTCGTGGGACGAAGCGGGCTGCTTCGAGAGCGACGCGGGGGAGCCAGAGACCGAAGCCAGCCGTCTCTTGCTCCTCAGCTACCTCGCCAGGTCCGAGAAGGGCGGGAGCGATGTGCGTCTCGACGTGAACCTGCCGTACCGACCGAAGGGGTGGCCCAGATCGTCGCTGGACCCGTTCGTGTGGAAGTGGCGAGTCGTGCTGAGTATAGCTTGGCCCAAGCGGCAGCAGGCGCACATCAACGTCAGGGAGCTGCAGGCCGCGCTCGCGGCGCTTCGGTGGCGGGCTCGCGCCGCTCGCCGCCACTGCAGCCGCTGGCTCCACCTCGTGGACAGCCAGGTCGTCGCGGCCATCATCACGAAGGGCCGGAGCAGCAGCGCTCGCTTGCAGCCGATGCTCCGGCGCTGGGCAGCGGTCGCGGTCGCGGCCGACATGTACCCGCTGATCGGCTACATCGTGTCAGAGAACAATCCGGCCGACGAGCCATCGAGAAAGCTGTGGCGTGGCTCGCGGCTCAGGGGGCGCGGCAGTCGCGCGCCCTTGGTGCGCAAGGCCGCCCGTGCAGGCCGCCCGTGAGGCGGCGCGACCCGCGCGCCCACACCCTCTCGTCGCTCCGCGTCGGGGTGGCGACCCGCAGGCGGTATGCCGTTGCGGTCCGCAGGCTCTTGCAGTACTACGGCGCTGAGGAGAGTGGCACGACCGCGCTCGCACTGGCCATGGACGATGCGGACGGCTTGGTCGCTGGCTTCCTTGAGAAGCTCTGGGCTGAGGGCGCTGGCATTGCAGCTGCGAGCAACACCATCGCGGGCGTGGCCTTCCTCTGCCCGTCATTGCGCAGGAAGCTCGACTTGTCCTGGTCACTCCTGCGGACGTGGCGCCGCCAAGAGCCTGCGGCGCGCGCCCTCCCGCTGACCGCGGAGCTGGTCGGCGGCATGGCGGGCTACGCCATCGCAGCAGGCGCCTTTGATTTCGCCTGCCTTCTTCTCGTCAGCTTTGAAGCGATGCTGCGAGGAGGGGAAGCTTTCAGCCTCACTGCAGGCGACGTTCATGATCGTGCATCGTGTATGGTCATCCGCATTGGCAGCAGTAAGACCACGGCGGGCAAGGATGCAGCTGAGGCCGTGGTGGTGCGGTCTAAGGCCTGTGTGCGGCTGCTGCGACTGGTCGTGGCCCATCTCGCGCCTTCAGACAGGCTTTCGCCCAGGTCGCCGAACCAGCTGAGGGCAGGATTGCAGCGCTTGGCCGAAGCGCTCGGCTTTCGAGGCCTCTTCAGCTGGCACAGTTGCCGACGAGGCGGAGCAAGTGACTTTTTCTGCCGCTCCGGCTCGATGGAGCAGACACTCGTCAAAGGCCGCTGGGCCAGCACTTTGACTGCGAGAATTTATATTGAAGATGCAGTTGCTGACCTAGTGAAGGTCAGGCCGCAAGATGAACAGTGTTCAAATGTTCAATGCGGCCTCGAGATTCTCCGTGAATTTGTCAGTTTGTGAGCGTTGAATGTGCATCTTCTATTCCCTATCCAGCCGTCCCTCTTTGTGCCCATTGCATGGTTGTGTGTACATATCTCTCAGCTTCGCTGACTTTCCATGCCTAAGTCTAGGCGGTGACTGGAAGTTAGCCTCACGGTTGTAGAGTTTTTAGAATAGTTTCTCTTAGACGGCGTGGGCGCCAAGGTTGGAGACGTGGGGAGTTAGCTGGTGACCTTCAGGGTGTGCCTTTCTGGTGCCGCACGTTCCAGCGCGTGGCCGAGGGTGTCTGTGTGGGACCTGTGGTCGGCCTCCCACGGGATGGGTGCCTCGGGACCTCGGGAGGTCCCTTGGCTGCCCGTCCTGTTCGGAGGTGCACCGTGTCTCGGTGCTGGCCTGTCCCTCCGTGATTCGGGCCCGCGTTTGTGGGTCCCGAGCGGCCCCGCGGGCTGTGGGCGCAGTGGAACCTTCGGCCAGTGTGCTGGGGGGGCGGTGTGCAAGGTCCTGAAAGTAAAGGTCACGTGTCGGGCTAACTTGACCACTGGCGTGGACGTACGCCTCCGTAAAACAGTATGACCGTTTACGCTTGTGTAAGGCAATACTGTTTGGGGGCATCGTTGAACGCCGTCTCCTTCCGTAGCCTCTTTCCAAGGCTCCCACCCGCTACCTCCCTGTAGTCCAGGGCCGCGTCGCGGCCCCTGAACGTGGAGACTGTTCTGTATAGATGCCCCCAGCTACTCCAGGTTGGTGCCCTAAGCCCAAAGGAGTTAGCTGGTGACCTTCAGGGTGTGCCTTTCTGGTGCCGCACGTTCCAGCGCGTGGCCGAGGGTGTCTGTGTGGGACCTGTGGTCGGCCTCCCACGGGATGGGTGCCTCGGGACCTCGGGAGGTCCCTTGGCTGCCCGTCCTGTTCGGAGGTGCACCGTGTCTCGGTGCTGGCCTGTCCCTCCGTGATTCGGGCCCGCGTTTGTGGGTCCCGAGCGGCCCCGCGGGCTGTGGGCGCAGTGGAACCTTCGGCCAGTGTGCTGGGGGGGCGGTGTGCAAGGTCCTGAAAGTAAAGGTCACGTGTCGGGCTAACTTGACCACTGGCGTGGACGTACGCCTCCGTAAAACAGTATATATATATATATATATATATATATATATATATTATACATATTTATATATGTAAACATATATATATATATATATACATATATAAAGAAGAGGGATGGGGCAGGAGGTGGGCGTTTTTTATCTATTGTTTTGCCTATCGGCGCCGGCCCTCGCCCCCCCCCCCTTCCCCCCCCCTCCGTGGAGCAGATCTTGGCTGTCTTTTGGCGCTTGTTTCGAGCAGGTGGGGTCCTCCCCCATCGGCCGCGCTGCTGCAAGCAGCCGCACCAAGCCGCGTTGCTGCAAGCAGTCGCACTAAGCCAGAGGTCCGGAGCCAGACACCCCCCTCCCCCTTCCGCCCAATGTCGAAACACCGAATAACCCAGACATCAGGCGTCTCGATTTTTTCGAGACGCGGGCCCCCGACCTCCCGACCACTTCCCTGGGACAAGCTTTTCATCCTGAGTCGTTTTTTGACGGTCCCGAGGCCCGGCGAGGGCCCCGAGAGGCCAAAAACTATGAAGTGCCTCTGTCTCGATTTTTTCGAGACGCCCGACGTCTGGGAAGAGAGCGCGCACGGGAAGAAGTGGAAGGGACCGGCCAGAGGCTGCTCCGCTGCCAGCCGTGCCCCTGGCCGCGGGGCTCCCGCGGTGGAGCGCCGCCTCGGCCGCGAGGACCGGCTGGTCTGCGGCCACCTCAGCAGCGACCTGTCCGAGTGCATCATGAACCTCGCGGTGATGACATCGACTGCACGTGCACATTGTTCGTGTCTCATTCTTCGGAAGCTCTCTCATTTTCGGGGGCCCAAGATCCTTTCATCTCGAATTCTTCCATCCTGGGCCTCCTTCCTGGTCACCAGGGGGCCAGGAACAAGTAGAAACGAGCACGATCAGAAATGAGCACGGTTAGAAATGAACGACGTGTACGAGTTGCCTTTCGCCGGAGTGACCTTTGGTGCGGGCCCACCGGGGTCCCCCGATCGCCGGACGCGGTGCGATAGTGGCGTGTTGTGCGCTTGTGCTCGGTTCCCACGCGGCCCCCAAAAAGCCGCGCACCTAAGGTCACTCTTACCCAGGGTCACTCCTGCGTATAGCCGATAGTATTGTTGAACCTATCCCCATCTCCAACGGGCGATGGAATCTCAACCTCACCACCACCGACCCCGCCCCCCCAGTTGGGGCTATCGCCGAGCGCGTTCCACTACTCGCAAAGTGCCTACTCGCAATCGTCCGAAATGTACAGGTCTTTCTCTATGTAATATATCGTAAATCCTCCGCGGCGGATCCAGGCAATCTGCGAGTAGTTGATTTGCGAGTAGTGGAACGCGCCTGTCCAGGCTAGGCCCCTCGAAACCGGAGGAGACAGCCGATGCCCCCATCCAGGGGGGCAAGCCGGCCCGTGGGGCCCAGGCCACGCCAGAGGGGGATGGGGATCGGGTAGTAAGCGGTGCCCAGGTGAAGGCGGACGAGCAGCTCCAGGAGCCGGCGAGCGCGCGGATCCCGGGGTCTCGGGGGCAGCGCCCCTTGGGGGGAGATGCGCTCGGGTTAGGGGGGCGGCGGCTTCGAGGCTCGAGGCTTTCGGACGTTCCCGTCGCCTCGCGGCGGTTTTTTTCCAGCCTCGGGGTGCTCTCCAGCAGCTGCGCCTCGCCGAGAGGCGTCCGGGAGTGCCCAGATCGTTGCAAACGGCCGCCAGAGGCCCGAGCTCTGGCCCGCAAACCACCGGGGGTGGGGATAGCCCGCCGCGCGCAGAGGGGGGGGGGGGAAGGGGCGAGGGCTTCTGAGAAGCACCCCCCGCTCCTTCGAAGGCGCGGGCCGTGTCTATAGATGGAAGGCCTGCGCCTTCTAAGAAGCAGCCTGCTTGTAAGAAGCCCTCCCCCCTTCCCCCGCCCCCTTGTGCGCGCCGCCAAGATTGGCCCAGGGGGGGACGCGTCGGCCCCAAATCGCCCAGTCATCACCGACAGGAGCCTGGCAGCCCGTCCCGCCCCAGGAGCGCGTGGTTTCGCTATCGGGAGCCCGTCGCCGCGATCTATCGGCGACGTGTCGCCCAGTCCAAATTCCAGGTCGATGGTTCCCTCCCTGAGCGGGTCCCCCGGATCGCGGGAGTTGCAGGGTCATTGGTATGCCTCGGGCTTCTGGAGGGTTTCTCCGAAGGGCTTAGGCGACCCGTCCTTCTCCTCCTTCCCCTCCTCCTCCTCCTCCTCCTCCTCCTCCTCCTCCTCCTCCTCCTCCCCCTGCTCCTCCTCCTCCTCCTCCTCCTCCTCCTCCTCGCCCTCCCCTCTTCGGGTCGCCTGCGGCCCCGGGGGAGACCGTCCACGGGCCTGGGGAGCGGCGCTCCAGTTCCGGGGCTCCTGCCGGGCGGGCGCTGCCGCCGCTCCCTCCGCCCTCCCCTGCGGCTTCTGGGGGGGGCTCTCGCTCCCCTGCGTCGCGCCGCGGGCTCCCGCCCGCTCCCGCTCCGGCGCGCGACGCGCGGAGCCACGCCCCCGCGCCCGGGCATCGGCGTCCCGAGCTCCGCCCGGGCCCCGCCCCTCGGAGCGGAGCAGCGCGCCGTGCGCTCGCCGGGGGGCGGCGCGTCGCCAGGGGCCGCCGCCGCGGTGCGCTGCGCAAAAGGTCCCCGGCCGCAGGATCGCACCACAGGAAGGATGCGGTCCCGCCCGGGCCCTCTGCCTTTCCCCATGCCCTTTCCCCTCCTGGGCGCCGCCGCGCTCGACTGGCCAGCAGAGTCTCCTGCCGTCCTGCGCTTCCTCTCGTGGCGATGTAGGGCCAGTCGCCAGCTGGGCGGCGAGAGGGCCTTGCCCTGGTTTGGCTTGGTAGCCAAGCGCGACTCTCGGCAGCCATGGCCGTCGGTTGGGGTGCCGTGCCGTCCAGCGGGGGCGGGCAGGTAGAGAGTGGCCGTGAAGGAAACGTTCAATGACATTCCCCCTGCGCGCTCATGCATGCTCGAACTCCTTCTCCAGATCCTCTTTCTCCAGCCAAGGATGTACCCGTGTGCCCGATGATAGAGTGTCAGAGAGCATGGTAGTTATCGGCCAAGCAAGGCATCGCAAAGCATGTCAACACTAGCCGACAGCATTGCAATGGAAAGCGGTGGGGTGCGTGCACCACTGAAGCGTTTGCTACGCTCCGCTTCATCAGAGCGAGGGGCTGTCACTTCGGACTAAACTTTGCTTGCCGGTGCACCCGAACAGAACATGGGCCACCTGACTGACCCGAACGAGATCAGGGAGTTCGAAGCCGAGGTCGATGCAACCGTTGAAGCGTTCCAGGAGTGCGCTTTTGTGGCTGGATTTCTTTGTCGTCGTCGTCGTCCCTTGCCTCCTTCTCCTGGCCCTCCTCCGTACCTTCTATTAATGTGTGGTTCTTACGCTCCTGCTTCTCGGCTCCACTGCTCTTTCCTTGCTTCCTGCCCCTCTCCCACGCTCTATCTTAGGGGCTGTGCCCTCCGCAGCCGGCACCCCAGGCGCAGCCGCCTTGGGCACATCCTGAGATCACCTCGCGGCCGTTTCGTGGGCGCTGCCGGGCCACCTGTAAGCCTCCCTCAAGGGCATCTCGGGGCCTCTGGGGGCCGCCTCTGACGAGGCCCTCTCTGGCCACTTGGAAGGGGGGGGGGCGACTTCTGCGCGCCTCGGGGGGGGGGGCACCTCCGGGACTCTCTCGGGGGGCACACCGACTCGTCGAGGCCGCCTCGGCCCATCCTGGCCGGTGGTGCTGGCGTCGTGGGGCCCGCGGAGGCCTGCAGTGTCTTGGGCGATCCTGGGGCCATCTTTCAAGCAGTGGCGAAGCGTCCTGGCGTGCCTACAGCCCTACCCAACAATGTTCTAAGAACCTTTTTGTGGTTTCCACGACATGTTCTTAGAACATGTCTGGCGGAGTCTGTCTTGTTTTACCACACTGGGTTTATGTTCTAAGAACATTGTTTTTGTTATTAGAACATTTCTGGGTTCTAAGAACATTTCGTGGCAGGACTATAGGAATGCCTGGACGGTCGGTCCCTGCTCAAATCTTGCGCCCACCGGGGAAGCGGAACGGAAAAAGCAAGCCACGAGCATGCAGCTCCACAAGCAGGGCGCTGTTCAGTGATGTGGCGCCCTCTGGCAGCAGCGCCTGGGGGGCATGCCTCCTGCTTCCACGAGGGGCCGCCTCGAGAGCCAACTTTGGGGCCCTCCTTGGCCGCCTCGTGGAGGAGGCAGGGGGCAGCTCGGCCTCGGAGGGCGCCCGGTGCTCCTCGGGCCCCTCCGCTGCCGGCGTTCCCCCCTGCGCTCCTCGGGCGCCTCGGGCGCCTCCGAGGTCAAGAGGGGAGCGGGCGTCGCGCAAGGGGGGGGGCGACAACTGGGGGAGGCTCCAGCCGTGATGGCCTAATGGCTCATGCGAGTTGTTCTGGAGCCGGCTTCGCGAGCACAAGCTTTGGGCCGGTGCCTCTCTTCTCTTCACAGGGGGGGGCGCTGCTTCTCTTCACAGGGGGGGCAGCGAGGGCTGCAGAAAAGGGGCTCTTTAGGGCTCCTGGAGGGGGCCTCCCAAAGAGGGCCCCTCGGGCCCGAGAAGTGCGCCGTTCTCCCCCCCCCCCCCCCCCCCAGATCGCCCCCTGTGGAGCAACGCCCGAGAGGAGCTCCGTTGGCACAGGGAGCAGCTCGGATTCGGACTGGGCTCGCTGCTCCCCGGGCCCCCCTGACTCCGGATCCGCCCTACTTTGGGGAAATTCGTAAGTAGGGCTTGGAATTTCCGCCTTACTCTTCAAGCCCCGCTGATGCCAATTTCCGCCCTACTTTTCTGTGGCTGTTTCCGCCCTACTTCTGTGGATTTCCGCCCTATTTTATGTTGTGTGCAGAAATTTCCGCCCTACTTTTTCGGCTTCTTGTGGGTGTATTTCCGACGCAATTTTGAGGTGGAAAAAAGCCAAAGTAGGGCGGATCTGGAGTCAGGGCAACCCGGGCGCGCATTTGGCCGAAGAGGGGCTCCGCTCCTCACGTTCGGCGCTCCCTGCGGTTGCCTGCCTGCCTGCAGATCTGCGGCGCCTCCTCCGCCACCGCTCCCCGCCGCACGCGGTGTCAGCACAGCACAGCACGAGCACAGCACAGGCGCAGACGCCATGCGCCAGCCCTCGGCGAGGAGGCGCGGGCACCACGCCGCCGCCGCCGCGCGCCGAGCAGCCGGCAGGAGGCGCGGGCAGCCGAGCGCGCGCCTGGCAGCTCCTCGGGAGGCACAGGACGCGAAGCAGGGCGTGGCGCGGCGCGGCGTCGGCCGGGCAGACGAGCTCGCCCGGCCACCGGAGGTCTCGACCTCTTCCCTGGGGCCCGCTCTGTATCTCGAGTCGCTCTCTGACGGTCCCGGGGTCCGGCGAGGGCTCCCAGAGGCAGAACAGTCCACATGGCTCATCTCTAATTTTTCGAGGGCTCTTTGGTTTTTAGGCGGCCAAGATCCTTCCATTTCTAATTATTCCGTCCTGGGCCTCTTCCTGGCCACTATAGGCTATAGGGGGCCAGGAACCAGTAGAAACGAGCCCAATTAGAGATGAGCACGCTGAGAAATGAACGACGTGTACCCCAAAACCTCCTGTCGTGTGTGTGTGTGTGTGGCAACGACGCGAAGAGGGTCATGGGAGCTCTGCCTTCCTGGGGCTGCCCGCCCCTGGCGGCCTCTCGCGGCCGCCGCCGCCGGCCTCTTCGGAGCGCTCCCCGATCGCCCGGGAGGGCCTCTGAGAAGGCCGGAGGGCGTCCGAGATCGGCTACACCCAGACCCCCTCGCGTCGTAGAAAATCACGACGGGAGGTTTTCCGCTATTTTCGGCCTCCAGGGGCCCTTCCCGGGCCTCGGGGCCGTCCAGAAACGACCCAAGGCGAAACACCGATCCCGGGGAAGGGGTCTAGACCTCTGGGGGTCAACGTTGCGAAAAATCACGACGCCGGGGTCTGGGCACGTAAGAGTGTCGGAGCTTGATCGACCTCCTACCCTGACACGTCGACTAGCGAATTGGCTGTTTTCGGTTCGCGAGAGGGAGTCGTGGCCGTCATTTTTGCGGGTCCAGGTCCGGTTTCGGTCCCAGGCCGTTTTCACTGAAGGGAGGTTTGCTAAAGGGAGGTTTGTCCACCGCCGAGAGAGACCTTTCGTCGGCGTGACCTTTCCTGCAGGCTCGCTGGGGCCTCCCCAGCGCCTGGCCTGTGCGCCTGGATCTGGCCTACCCGCGGCCCCCTGAAGCTGCGCACCAGAGATCACTCTTGCCCAGGGTCGCTCTTGCGTGTAGTCGAGGAGGAGGAGGAGGAGGAGGAGGAGGAGGAGGAGGAGGAGGAGGAGGAGGAGGAGGAGGAGGAGGAGGAGGGAGGGAGGAGGAGGAGGGAGGGAGGAGGAGGAGGAGTAGGAGGAGGAGGAGGAGGAGGAGGAGGAGGAGGAGGAGGAGGAGGAGGAGGAGGAGGAGGAGGAGGAGGAGGAGGAGGGGGGAGGAGGAGGAGGAAACCCCGCGGTCTGATGAGAAGCAATGTCCCCTCGGCGCGCCGCCGAAGCCAGGCTGCGGTAAGCGAGCTCGCCAGATGCCCGTCGCTGGCGGCCTCCCCAGGCATCTGGCGTCTCGAGGTTTTCGAGATGCAGGTCCCCGACCTCTCGACCACCTCACCAGGACCGGTTTTTCACCCCGGGCCGCTTTTCGACGGTCCCGAGGCCCAGCGAGGGCCCCGAGGGGGCCCAAACATCGAAAAACCGGAGTCCCGATGGTTTCGGGACGCCAGATGTCTGGGTTCTCGCGCCAGCCTCGAACCCCCTCCTCGATCATCCTCGATCCTCCACCCTCGATTCTCGAGCCTCGATCCTCCACCCTCCACGTTCGACCC